CTGAGTCAATACCGATTAGCGAAAGAGTATCAATATTTCGCTTATGTCGAAATGTTGCGTGATCCGTGGCGTCCACTGTACCCCTTGCTTGAGTAGGACCTTGGAAGAAGACTTGATTGCCTGTGAAATGGGCTCAAGAAAGGATAGTTTTTTTAAAATGCTTTCTATAAGGGCACCGACAAGTAAACAGGAAAGCATTCATACTAATAAATTAGTCATTTTGCTTATCGAATATGGTCGAAAAGAAGTGCACTCAACCGCCGGTTTCTTGACGGCGTACGAAATTTTTCGGAGCTTATGCTGCACGATACGAAAACTGCACTTGAGGTTCCTGTCTCTCTAATCTCTTCCCTTCACCCTTCTCCTCTTCCAGTCTGTGCGGCATATCCGAATCGACGGGAAGACACCATCTGAACAGCGTCGAGTCGTTTGCGAACGTTTTCAGCTCGAGGAGGCCTGCAAGGTTGCCCTCCTGTCCATCACGGCGGCCGGCACTGGTGAGTCTGACAGTCATTCCCACTACTCCCCCCTCCCCCTCTTCGAAAGGAATGATGGTCAGTATATCCGGGTCAGCGGAAAGGGGCCATGCACATTCATAGCACCCTTTAATTATTTTGGTCGTCATAATCTTGTACAAGAAATAACGAGAAAAGATGGTTACGATAAGGAGCAGCAACAAAGCGTGGGTGTGAGCCGCGGTTCCTTAAATTTGTCGTACTCACGTTAACCTCGTTTAAAGAAATTTCAATGCGAATGATTTGCGCAGGACAATTTCATAGCCCCTATCCTGTAGAACGACCAGAAGCATGAATTTATATTTTCCGCCGGTTTTTTGTGGTTAACTGGTTTACATCACCTCGAGCAATAAGTGATTGTTATTCCTCGCGCCCACATTGCCTTTGAAGCCATCACTCGGACCCTAACCCCTCCCTCCCCTCATCTCTGTGCTTTGAAGGAATCAACTTGACTGCCGCCACACTGGTCGTGTTTGCGGAACTCTTTTGGAACCCCGGCGTACTCATTCAAGCCGAGGATCGTGCCTACCGCATAGGGCAGCAGGATTCAGTCAACGTGCAGTACCTCCTGGCCGAGGGCACAGCAGACGATCATATCTGGTGCGTGGTCCTTTTTTTTCAGACTCTCAGCCATTTTCCATGCAACAGTCGTGTCAATGACAGATAGCATTGCCGGCTGGGAGACTGGAATGGTCATTTCTGGCTCATTAGCTGCCATTTTACCCAAATCCAAGTGGTGCACCACCCAAGGTTCTCATCAGCGGCCCGTTGATCAGAAGTCTGACAGTTTAATCATTGTGCCACGAGGCCGTTGTCTTACCGGTTTATGCCTGGAGATATTGTCATTCGTCGATGAACGTTTACCAATCGCTAAGGCAACTCACTTGTCTCGCTCTGCCTTGGGCCTCATTCTCGAGCTCCGCCAGTAGCCGCACAGATATGACTGGCAAACGACGGCTAAGAAGCCAGAAACGGCTACTCCAATCTCCTTTGTCTTTGCGGGCAATGCTGTCTGCCTAGACATCTAGGCACTGTGAGGCTTCTGGCGATGCTCGAGAATGAGCCTTAAGGCATAGCGGGACGACTGAGTCCAGTTAAAAATAGGTGCCAGCACTCACCGGTGACTTTGAAAATAGTAAAAATGTGTTATACACACATGCCTCCCGGGCTATGTATAAAGGACTAAGGCGATAAAGCGTTCTCTGGGATCAGTGGTTTATTTGTCCGACGTTTCGAACGCTCACACGAGCCCATTGTTAAAGAACGAAAAAAAAATGCTCAGTTCACTGCT